AAACTGCTAGAACATGTTGTCGCCATACGTACGGAAGTGCTTGCAGAAGACCATCCTGATCGACTGTTATCGGAGAGCACCCTTGCTGCTTTCTACAAGGATTTGATGAAGAGATCCAGAACAAGACAGGCGTCTGCAACTCCGCAAGCAATGTCCGAAAACAATGTCACTTCCACTGCGCTGTCAGATCAATCACCAGCAGAACAGGATCCGAAGCTAAGCTACAAGTCGAGAGGAAGACTTTTCGTGAGGCAACTAAAGGGCTTTTTAAAGAAGGTCAATTAGTACTGGTGTTCGTTCTGTAAAACAATGGATTCTAGGCTGCCAAATCCTTGGCTAACACGGTCATTGGCAAGGATATAAGGGATCACCTGGACGGATTTGCACCTTCCGCAGCAATGTATGCCTCTTACTCAACCAACTTTCTGCTAGTCGCTGATACACAGTCTCTCACCGACTTTTTCATCATGGAAGTATAACTACCATCACACCTCTTGTTAGGCGCGACTTATGAGCTTCTTACCCATGCAAAGCACCTTGCTCAAATTTCGCAGCTAATACACCGCTGATTTCCAGATGATGTTCGTAGATTTATAGAACTTTCCGAGACTCCTGTGAGACCGACTGTCTATACTATTGTAACGGCCGCGCCTTTAGCATGGATTAGCTAATCATATATCTCTTTCTTTGTAGCATATTAGTGGCACATTCCAACGCTTGACTAAGAGAGTACAGGGCAGTCAAGTTACCGAGAGGGAGGGCATATCTGAATTCCAGTCTCAAGGGTACAAGGAAGGCACCAATACCTTTTAAGTACAAAATATGTTATTTACCATATGAACATATCGGGATTTACGCACCATGTGAAGGCGGTAATGGTCGCCTCTGTACAAGCAAATGAAGCCACTGTGGCATCTCTGATCCCCATTCGTGCCAGGTGAAAATCAGAAATATACGATAACGTATACCACCCAAAATATAAAAATAAAAAGCAATAAAAACCTGCTCTAGCTGCGCCGAACCTCCTTAATACGCCGAAGGTTCGAATATCCATCTACAGGTACTCCATCCAAACGTTGCACGCCAATTACAGATGCAAGAACCTCACTTAGCAGACAGCTTTGAGGCTCTTCAGGAAAAGAGTCCTTTCTCAGCGGTTCATCCAGTATGCTTCCACACTTCTCACAATTCCGAGAGCTGCCCCTATGAGCTTCGAGCTGATGGTTAACCTCTGCCGTGCTTGATTTCTGATTCCCCTTGGCATATTTCCTTTCAAAACGATCGTATGTTTTCACGTCGAAGGAACAGCCTTTGTAGCGGAACCAATTTTCAATGGCGTTGTGGAAGCGGGATATTTGCCAGCTGGCTGAGGTCATCTGGGTCACTCCTCCATCCATTCGCAATCCTGGCGCTCTATTAGGGCAGCTAGGTTGGGAAATATTTGCTCAATGCAAGATACATGGTAGTACTTGTTCGGTTCTAAGTCTTGTGAGATTTGGAATAGGGTTTTGCAGATTGTTGAAACTTACCGTAGTAACGACCAGAAAGGTCCTTGACATTGAAGCGACAGTGGCTCCTGGTGCTAGGGTTGTCTTGCAATATAATCACCCGTTTCTCATTTGTAAGCTTATGTTCAATACACCTTCTTTCAAATGCAACTCGCTTGGCTGGGTCTTGTGTTATCTTTTCCCATTCACTATCCACCTCTTCATCAGGCGGATCATCAAAGTAGGTTTCCTCTGATGATAGGCTAGTCGGCCTTTTCTGAGAAATCATGCTTCTTGTGACAATAGGCTCAAAGGCTTAGCAGTAGGCAAGCCTAAAGAACGCAAAATAAAGAACAGTTTACTGACGTTTGTACTGGGGTGAAGTCGGTTTAAGCCCGCCAACGCCTTGAATGCCTGAAACACTATTGCCTCCATGATGCCGTTTAACCTCAATTGGCTTGACAACGCATACTCCACTTCAGCGCATTCAAACGCTCCCATTGCGAAGAGTCCCTGCACTACCGAGATCCAACGTGAGAACCTGGGTGGGATACATAAAGTACTTCAAATGGGCGGTACGCATCCTTCCTCTTTTCGCCACCCAGCCCGAAGAATGACTCCGCTGACCCACCTTACACCGAGGAATCGGTCTCCAACTGCCTTCGTCTCGCCCATCGGGGCCTCATGTTGCGCGACTCAAGATAATTGTTCTCCGGTTACCGGGGGCAGCTGGTGGTCGTGGAGTGGAGATCCGGATCGGAAAACGCTGCCAAAGGCACAATAGGCCAGCGAATCATCTCAATTTCCAGATCAGTTTGCCACATATACTGGATCTTATCATGAATAAGCAGGTCTTTCCTATAACCAAGAACTTTCCAGAGTTTCGTCCGAAAAATAAACCAGTCAGAATCATAGTCGTCCCAGTCAAGGCTGGGCTCAGTGGATGACAACTCTTCGTCAGCACTCAAACTGGCGCTATCTCCTTGTATTTCTTCACCTAACTCATCTTCTTGCATAGACTGGGAGTAGAGGTCCCCTGGGCATGGTATCACTCGAAGCTTCGGGAATATCCTGCGCCACTCCGTGGCAACGCTCTGGAGTTTGTCCCTTTGCATCAAGTGTCGTGGATTCTCGAAATAGATCCTCGCAAAGTGCATGCTTTCCAACCGCCAGAGCGGATGCAGTTCGTTTATCACTGCGAGAGAGATGCATAACTGAGTCATAGGCAGGTCAAGCACTGTCAGTCGCGGGCAGTGACTTGAAATATCTTGAAGCAGTGCACCGGGCATCTGGAACTTCACTCCCAGAGCGAGAAACTCCAGGTGAGGCAGAGCAGGCAACAGACCTAGCAGCAGGTCTTCCCCTAACGTTGGGTCTGCCCTAAAGTCTATACACCTCACGCTAAATTTTCGTAAAAGCGGGCAGCATCGTGCGATCTGGATGAGCTCTTCTTCATCGCGAAACTCACCGAAATGCAGATTGAGAACTTGTAGATGTCGGCATGTTGCTATATTCTCAATTATACTATGGTCGATGACGCGTATTTCCGGCCCAAGATTTTCCAAGCTGAGAATTTGAAGTTTCTCGAATTCTGGTAATTGATCCAACCAGTCTTCCTCCCCCTCTCGAATATACAAGGCCTTCATGTTTGGCCATGCAATTCCCTGTTTCCCAAGACGGGGTCCACAATGGCGGACGTTCAGCGCCAATACCTTGAGGTTTTGTTGTTGTTGAAGGCATGATAGGAGCTCCAAAGTATCGGATTGAGTTAGGCCTTCAGTTCCAGACGGTTCCTCCAGGCAGAAAAACTGCAAATCACAACTTATACAGCTCGGGTTAGACATGATTTCTTAGGAAGAGGATCATTGCGAACCAGACCAGACTTACCGAGGCTTTGATGAGCTCTTGGGAGCTAACATCAGTTCACAGTAGTAACTATCAATGGCCAAAAACTCAATGGTTGGGTTGAGAAGGAAGTCAGGAAACAGCGACCAATCTTGATCCTTGATCTCGAAAGGGATTGAGAGACTTGAAAGACCCCTTCCTCGCGGCTGCAGAAGGTACTCAGCGTATTGGCGATGACGCATTGCGCGACATTTCTCTAAGCATACAAGCCGAGTATGTGGCACTTCGACTTCATCACTGGCGGGTATCTCAGGAGAAAGAAGAAGATGCTTCACGAAAGTCATATTGCGGGCGAATTGCTTCCGTGATGCTACAAAAAGGCAATTGAGTGAGCCAATGTCTGGTGTGCGGAACTGCATGTCGTTCAGAGAGCCCTTGTAGAGCTTCTTCAAGGCGGCCACGTTCCATATGCTGTTCACACCAGCGCAATTCAGAAGGTCCGGGACATTGTGAATATTGTTGATGACAAGACCAACAATTTCCGGGACCAAAAGTGGATTTCGTGCGTTTCGCTCAAATCTGGCAACCATACTGGGAAGACGCACCGCCGGAGAACATATATTAACCGTTAGTATCTCGATATTAGGCCGATCATCCGTGGTCACCGTGGGAACTCGATGGTCTTGTTGGGAAGAGGCGGGAATGGCATGATTTTTTAGGACATGGGACAAACAGGCTGTCGTAAGATGCCACCACTGTAGGCTCCTCTTGGAGAATTATTTAAGAAACGTTTCATGTATGAACCATTGACGGGCGCAACGCTGAGTCATTAGACGCCCCAGCCCCTGAACCACTAGCGCCTTCAGCGCAACGCTGGCTGCAAATGACGCATCTCTATTGGATAATATCTGATGCCCCGCTTCAGCGCTTGAGCCTCAGATGGCCAACGAATTACTCTGAAAATGCTCTATTTCTAAGTGATTATACTGCGAAAATGTACATTACCTTGTATCAGTTCACTGTATTACCACCAGCTTCCAGTTCTTACTGTTTAACAGGGATTAGAGACATACACGAAGCACTTATCAAACGCTGATAGCTCAACAACCAAATTCGTCGGGATTGTGGTGGATGTCGCAAATCACAGAAGTGCAGTAAAGGCACGAAATACCAAAACTATAGGGGCCGTGGAGTGATTCACGGATTTCTTGGGGTACATGCATCCGGAAGGGGGAGTGAGATTCAGGGTGGCTCAAGTAGGGCGAGATGATGTCATAAACAAAATTGAAGCTCCTCTTACTGAGATGCATTTGATTGGGATACTGAGCTATTGTCGTGGAAGCTCGAACCGCACGTTCTCAAACCTAACTGACTGTGCTCCGCCGAGCTTCTCTTTCACGTTTAACTTTGAAGATGTTTTTAGGGCACAGCAAGGGGCTTCCAATGTATTAATTCCTCAAGCGATACATGATACGATTGGATATTATAGGAACTGCACACAATGGGCTATTTTTGCTTACCTAACAGCATCCTGTTCAATAGGGCTCATAGTCCTGATCAGTTTTACAGCTGTCTGTTCTCGGTTGGGAAGTGTGATTACGAGTCTGTTCGCCCTGGTGAGGGGAACCGTCCCTTTATTATGCTTTTGCTGAAACCAGTAGACAGCAGCATTTTCTAGTTTCGGAGCATCTCTTACCGTTCTTTTCGCGAGCGAAGCCCTCGCTAGCAGCTTGAACTCTGTGTCGACAATAATTGGCGTTGAGATAACCCTCGGACGGCGAGCTATGATTATATCGTGCATCGGAACAGCGTTGGTCATTATAGCAGCTCTGATATTGCTTGCACATACATGCTACGGACCTGCTAAACCGAGGATAAAAACTGAACAGAGGGTCCAAAATAGCTAGGGCAGTACTATAGAATCCCGAGCTCTCCTAGGCTTTACCTCATAGACTGGGTACACACTGCATAGTATACTACCGAGTTGAAGAAACCAGTACTAATATATTCTTAGAGACACTGATAAAGGAGACAGGTCTTGGGGCTGGTGGGGTGGGGAAACTATTCAAAGGGCCAAGCAATATAGTTCTTATGGTTAGGGGTTTTCGTTTAGCCCTCGATACTGGCTCAAGGTAATTCGGACAAGAAAAATTATATACAGTAGAAGCTCATCATCCTGTATTAAAAAATATCTTGTTTTCAACTGTGGACCTATCACTGGTGGTAATATAAACGATTCTTCAAGATATTTTGCCATGTCTATCATCATGGCATGCCAGAAGTACATTGAAGATTCTGTTACCCTTAGTACAGATTCCAGGTGCCGAAGAATGTTGAACAATGTTCTTCTAGTTAATGAACGGGAATTTTGCTTGTCGCATTTAGGGCCTATATGACGCTCGAATAAAGGCTTTCTGATTAAAAGTTGTACATGCCTCCAATTGAATGATGTTGTTTCACAGAGTTCTGTACCCGCGGATGTCACCAGATTGTAACGTTCTGATCCCCAGAAATACGATACATATGCTCTTAGAGAAAGGCTAAAACTACGATGACACACTGGGAGTTGCATCCTCCTGTCTATTTAGCAACTTATATCATTTATTTTCTACGCAGCTAGAAATACAATAACGCCGGCGCAAGCTGCGATCAAATGGCGAAGCAAACAAATGCTATCACATATATAACCTTTTTCAACTGTATGACATTGATCGACGTAATATATACAGCATATAACGGAGCTGAGATCAACGATATGTATAAACATTGTAGAGTTTGAAACAGTAGACGAGGGTTGGCCACGCTGTCGTCCACCCGGACACTAGGTTTTTCTAACTGTTTCCATTCTGATCTTTGGCGATTTTCATCTGTCTCTTTAGTAGTGGATGTGCATCATGTTTTTCTAAGATGACTTCAATCATGGACAAGCCCCTGCCACGTATAATGTGCTCGCTTTGTAAAACCCTTTCAAGATCAGCCCATGTTCTCACCTGCTTGGTAAATACTGGGTATTCTGAGTCATCTTTCCTTGCACCGAAATACCACGGAGACTCCAGATAGCGCCAAGGCTGTATATCATTGTAGTATGCTTCCATGCCATGAATATACCTACAGAGTTTGCAATTTAGTAATCTGTAGAGCAGAAGACTATTGATCCATGCGCTGGGTGGGCACATCGACATACCTTTCAATTGTATACCCATCATTGTTAATAAGAAAAATGATTAAGTCAAGGCGATTGCGTATGATGTCACTAAGTACTTGAGCTGTCATCTGAAAGCTACCATCCCCTTCGAACAGGATTGTTCTCCCTTCGTTTCGAAGACCTTGCTCAACCATCTCCCGTTGTGCAAGGGCTGCGCCGCAGGATGCCCCTAATGTGTACCCGATGGATAGCCAGAGTGCAGAGTTGATGATTTTGGTATTGGGCGGAAGGACAAAGTCACAGCCACCGGCATATGGCGTACCGGTTTCCGTTAGAATAATATCGTCGGAGTGGAAAAACTGCGAAACATAGCGCCAGAATATGTCTTGCGTGATAGATGCTTCAGGGCGCGGGGAATCCAAAGCTCCTGCCATATTCAAACGTCTTGGCTCAATGCATGATCCATCGTACGCAAATAGAGACAGATCTAGCTCAGAAATGATCTTGCGGAGAATGGATTTGGTATTCATATTCAAGTAATTTTCTCCTCGAATATTGATCGTGAATTTGTGTAGCTCAATAGTGATGGCTTCGCTTGTAAGCGCAGTGAATCCGAAGGTGTTGGTATCAGCATTCATCGGAGCAAACCGTATTACTAGGTCACGACTCTTAACCCACCGCACGAAGTCCGAGTTTCCAGCGGCGCCTGTATATACGCCGCAAAAATTTGGATAAGTTTCATTCGCTGTCCCTTTCCCGAATGGAGTAGTAACGACTGGGAACCCTGTCAGGTGCACAATATCGTCTGCTTCTTGTTCCAAACCGTATCGTGACACCCAGCCATCGAGTATGATGAGAGGCTGTGACGCTGAGTACAGTGATTTGAGCAATTCTTTCACCACAGTTTGCTCCACTTCTGAGCCTTCATTCGGAGGCAACGAGGTATCGATACCTTCCTCAAGTCGCGATGCAGATATAATTACTTTCGCCATATTAGCAGGTATTTCGATGTAGACAGGCCTGCTGTGTAGCAAACATTGACGCAACGTCTCGTCAATCAAGACTGGTGCATGGGAAGCAAGCGTTAAATTCGCTTGAGCACACGTAAAGCTTCTGTAGATGGATGCATAAAGTCGAGAGTTGCCGTCACCCAAGGAGTGATGCAGAATTGCATTTTGATCCTGTAGATATGTTGGTGGTGTACCGACAATATGAACGAGAGGAACTTTCTCTGCATATGCTCCTGCGATGGCATTAAGTGCTGATAGCTCCCCAACTCCGCTCGTTGTCATCAGCGCTGCTAACCCTTTGACTCTCGCGTAACCATCCGCAGCATACCCAGCACTGAGTTCATTGGAGCACCCCACCCAGTGAAGCCCAGAAGGTCTAACATAGTCCAACGCAACCAAGTTAAAGTCACCAGGCACGCCATATATACTACACACACCCAATTGCCGCAGTCTGTGGAAGACATATTCCGCAACGTTAATTTGGGCAGTGATATGAGCCATTTGGGTTATCGCGAGGAAGTGAGCTATTGATCTCTGTGGCAAGCGCTTAATTCGCAGAATATCCTTCGTTCTTGGGTCTATTATAAGAGAAATGAAGAACAAGGATATAATTTTACATTTTTATATCATAAATATTGACAAATAAATGGGTACAGTATATTTCATCTATCTATCGAGTTTCATTGGATCTGTTCAGTTTTTATGGTTGAGGGTCTTCGATGTATAGTTCATATCGCCGAGAAGCCATGATCATACGTTTATTTTGAGCATATCAACCCTGGGGAACGTAATAGCTATCATAGTGATGCGTCAATGCTAGCCGTCGACCACGTTCCCCGGTGCGTGCTTTCATAGCAGGTACTGCGTGTTGAACAAAGCGGGTCGTCCAGGTATCCGGAAAATAGGTGCCGTCACAGACAGGGGTACAACACGACGAGTGGAATTAATCGACTACGATTTGGCACGGAGTTTCGGCCAAGCGCGAAATAGTAAACATGGTACTACGTAAAGTATATAGTTTAACGATGTTTGATCGATAACACTCTTATGTATATATTCTTTACAGAAATTAACGAGGCTTTCATGTTCCGGTGTCCTTTTGTCTTCAAACAGGAAGCCGTGAATACTTGGGTTTAATGAAGGGAAGAACGGCGAAAAGTCTGATTTCCACTGGTCAACCAAAGCAATCAAAGTTAGGGGTTGTTATCATGGGGCGCATGGAAGACAAGTGCACCACTGACTAGTTAACGATCCTGCTATTGCTATGATTATGGATCAAGTTTAACGCCTGTGGGAATCTGCTGGCTACACAAACTACATGTTCCTAAGCAACTGGCAATAGACAGGACCATATAGAGAATTTACCCTGCAGGAAACGATAAAAGAAGAACTATGAGGGTTTAACATTTCTGTGGTTCCTAACATTGCTGACACTTACTTCTCGGAGCTATTTAAAGTTCCTCGAATAAATACATATTGTCAATACACATCTAAGGTAACTAAGTATTAAGCTCTTTAGCGTCTATCTACATACATTGTTGTGACCGAGAGAGATACAACCTATCAGTCTTGTCTCACACTACGTATTCAAACACCAACGAAATCAAAATCTCGCGTTATGGATGCCTATCCATTGGAGAACATGTGTGACAATTTATCCGTCATCCTCGTCCATGCATTTAGTTGTGCGTATTTCGCTTCAAAATTCATTTACCAAGCCATAATTCATGCCCCGAACAAAATCTTGGACGAGATGGTGGTGTTGGCCTTCCTTCTCGCTGCGATTTGTTTCTGCTGGTTCTGCATAAGAGCCCGCACTACACAGACACAGCAACTGCTGCAATGGGAACAAGCAGGAACCATTATCCTAATTGCTGCATCAACAATTGGATTCGTCTTTTTCCAGTTCTATTTCGAAAGATGGCCACGCACAGTGTATATGGCAATATTTACTCTGACCGCCAGAGAGTTTGCATCTCTTTGTTTCCGCTCTCCGACAATATTTCCTGTGCTTTGCCTCACATACGGCATGCTTGCCATGATCCCTGTTGTCCATGCGAGTCTCTGGCCATCTGCTTGCCGACTGCCGATGAGAGCTCATTTTATCTCCTTTTTGGTACTGACTGCAACTGGTGGATTATTTCATAAGTTACGAATCCTCGAAAGGCTTACTAGACTTGGAGGCGCTTGTACCGGAAAATTTCTCCTGCATGCTCATTTTATCATCGCTGTCATACTATTGTGGCAGGGGATATCGGCTGCATATGTATCTGATGCTATTCCAAGTGTCGACCAGTGCAGAGAGTGGAAGTGGTGAGAAAGTTAGCTCCCCAAATTATCCGTAATACCTGGCCAAACACTTCAAGCTTTTTGAAGTCGTTTTCTGAGGTGTCTGGCTTTGGCGAAAATGGGAATCATATTATGAGAACCCATGGTTTTGTATGTATGGCTAGTTAACTGGTGTTTCACCGAAAGGTTGTCATGCGGAGCTCCTATCAATACTATATCCTTTAACACAGCCATCTGTCCTAGCTATTTCATTGGAAAGTTCTTTACAGACTATACTGTACTGCATGATCTCATTAATTGTTCTAGAGTTGCAGAAAGTAACTGTAGAATATCTACTAGCTAACAAATCAAGTTCAAGGGAAATTGTTTGAAAGGAGCGTGATATGCTATAACTTAAGGGAAGTGTCCTAACCTTAGAGATATTCTTCATAATAAGTAGCCGTTAGGGTCAACATAAATTTTTTCCCTCATCGCTTAAACTCTTGTAACGTCTTGATTCATTGCTAAAAAATACATCGTTGATATAATATAAGAATCGTGGATTTGCCACCAACACCATTCCCTTTGCAATCCGTTTCCCGGCTCATATAGCCTTGACTAGTAAACAGGCTTTGAAATGTCCTATAATGTATAGCCTAGCCCGGTCTATTAATATAATTTCGGGAGGACAGCTGCGGGTATACAGTATAACCTTTGTGCCTGGAATGTAACTCAAAAATGTAATGTCCTCACATAGTACTGTTGGAGCACGAGAAGAAGCATTCTAAGTTTCCCCTATCTTCACTTATGGTCATAGTTACGGTGCTGGAGATCAGATATGTCTACCTGAACATTTTGAGAGAAACTAAGGGCCGTCCGGGGCTGAGAAATATGTCACCCAGCCAGTTATAGTTCTCATTGTACTCTCCTATAACCTAGGGCATCATTAAACTACTGGCAAATACTTTCCCTCTGACAAGACACACCTTTGAGTATATAGAAGCCAAGATAGGTCGCCATTTAAAGCATCCATAGCTGCTGGCTGTATACAATCACCATCTTGCCCGCTTGTTATAGGCTGTCCGAATACCGGTGTCACCACTTACACTCTTTTGATTGTTTCAGTAACCCTAGTGTGAAACCAAGCTAGGCTGTATTTGGAATGGAATGGAATAATAATTCTCCCGACCAGTACCGCGTGTATTGACATGTAATATTACATATATCCAGTAATTTCGGCTTTTGTCCCTTGGCATGGAAACATCCAGAATTCTGGATAAAGAATAAATAGCAAAGCTCTTATAAACAGGAAATATCAGTATATTAATCTGAGCTATCCCGCGCCCTCATTTTACAATGAGATAAAAAAACAATAATAATAATAAATGGAACGCAAAGAATGTGAATCTAGATAGGTGGGCTCTCTCCAAAGTGTTCGCGGAGCTGCAACATGATCTTAAATCCAACCAGTCCTTTATTTGCTGTTGCTGCCTTGACCACATCTTCAGTAATAGGTAGACTCTTTCCAAAGTGCTTACAGTGTTCGCAGAGCTGCTGTATGATCAGAGATCCTTCCGATCCTTCATTTGCTACTGCCGCCTTGACCACATCTTCAGAGATAGGTAAGTTCTCTCCAAAATGATGGGAGAGCCTCAACAGAGAATCATTCGATCTTTTATTTGCTGCTGCCGCCTTGACCACATCTTCAGAAATAGGTAAGTTCTCTCCAAAGTGTTGGCAGAGCTGCCGTAGTATCTGAGATCCATTCAGTCTTTTATTTGCTGCTGCCGCCTTGACCACATCTTCAGAGATAGGTAGGGTCTTTCCAAAGTGCTTACAGTGTTCGCAGAGCTGCCGCATAATCTGAGATCCACTTGATCCTTCATTTACTGCTGCCGCCTTGACCACATCTTCAGAGATAGATAGATTCTCCCTACAGTGTTCGCGGAGCTGCCGCATGATCTGAGATCCATATGGTCCTTCATTTGCTGCTGCCGCCTTGACCACATCTTCAGAGATGGGTAGACTCTTTCCAAAGTGTTCGCAGAGCTGCCGCATGATCTGAGATCCAT